TTTCTCTCACGATTACAGAATTTATAATTTGAACATAATGAAATAATCTGTTTGCCGCCCTCTATAATGACTTAATTAATTAACAAGTTCTCATACAGGTAATAACAAAATAGCGTTCTCCAAGATTTCTGCGTGCAAATCCTGGAATAACGCAGTGTAGGACGTCCTCTTTCAATTACTGTACAATTACTTTTGAACTTTGACATCTATGATCACCGTGCAAATTCTAGAACAACCGCCATAGTAACAACTAGGACGCCCTCTCTCAATTACGATTACTTTCGTTCGTTGTAAAAAAAAAACAACAATAATAATTCAACTAAATTAACCCATAGGCCTATTGCTACACGCGATTTGGCCTATGACGCATGTCAAAAACTGCAGACGACACGGATTATCTTGTGTTTCGTGTCAGTGTTTTCATTTAGTTGTTGGAGCTGATTCCGGCACTGAAAATGAAGGATACAGAACGTTATATTAATTGGCATATACATTATATTTGAAGAACGAGGAAAAATAACTATTTTTCCTCGTTCTTTTCGGATGGGACATTAAGCCGTTGGTCCCAAATCTCATTTATTTCTCTTTCTACACTATTCATCTAAATTAATTAACTTCCTATTTAACAAATTACATCATAAACCAAATCAGGGCAAGATCATAATGTTTTCAAAAACCATGCGTAAAATAACATGTATAAAATAAGATCTTGTGCTTTCTCTATGCTGGCAATGGTTAGGCCTTAGGCGTTTATCTTATATACAACGATAAATTTCTTATATATTTATATATATATATTTATTTATATGATTTTTACCCAGCAGAACACCTATTCGTTTAAATAGTATATAAATTTATTTATAAATGTATTATCAAACATAACCTTAAGGATGAGCAAACGAGTTATATCTGGGGAGATAAACACGTTGTTTATTGAATTATGATGATAAAAAGAACTAGTGGTGTTTTACAGAATTACAAAACGACAGGGGTGGCGCCAGCAGGGCGGGGGCCCAGGGCCCCTGTCTAATTAAGAATTCTATGTTATTCATGATAACCGCTAACCGATTGTTTAATCGTATAAAATATGACGTGGAAACAGCACGTTCAGTGAAAAATGCATTAACTTATCCGATTATTAATTATAATTATTGTGCTGTATAATTATTTTGCTTTCAATCAATGATACTACTAATAATAATACATTATAATTATAGTTAATATTATCATTGTTATTAATCCGTTTAACATCGTCACTCGTGAATTTATGCGTACTATAGGTACCGGTTATCTCATAATACGATCAATCGAGGCCATTTTGCGTTAGGCCTACATCACGCAATAGTAAAAGAAATGCTTGCTAATAATAGGAATTAAATGCATTTCTATAGATTAATAAACGAATTAATAATATAATATCTATAAGAGCACACCCAGGTTGAGCGCCTTGGACTCGTCCCCAGGGGGCGTATTTCAATAAGACTCAAGAATTCAATTAAATCAATAATGCACATTTTAATCACTAACAATTCATTTTCGAAATTGATTTACATGGTTTAAGAATTTTAAGTCAAGTCATCTTGTCGTCCCGTACGAATCATGGATGTACAAAGTTTGCAGCATGTAAAGCATATTAATATTTTCGGTCATTAATTATTATTACTGTGTGTCTAAAAGCATATGTCCATCATGGTGCATGCGAAAGGCTCAATACTTGAGGCCATTGACATATTAATTTCATATTAATTCGATGCATGATAATTTCATCATTCCATAAATTTATATAACAGTTTTAGTAACGTGAGAAGATTTATGCTGGTGTGCAGCAAGGATTCATGTAAAAATTGTATAGGCCTATAAAATAATGTGTCCTTCTTCTTCTCTCGTATGTCTGATGCAGTCTTTGTACTGCGATGTTAAAGTACTTTGAAATAAAACATAAAAACAGCCCTATATGATACTGTTTTAATTGTGCAGCAAGAGATTCATGTAAAATTGTATACCGTACCATACCGGTAGCAAATAATAAGTCCTTCTTCTTTCATTTCTAAAGCATTCTTTGTACTGCGATGTTAAAGTAATATTAAATAGTAATACTGTATTGTTAATTATACCTACCTATTGACTATGCACAGAGTGTAAATCTTTCATTTATTTGGGACGGACACTCAATACAATATAACATAAAAACAACCCTGATAATGATACTTTATTTCCAAACCAACAGCGAAAATCGCCACTTGATGGAAATAAAATATATAATATAATCTCTAAAAAATACTGTTTAATTGTAAAAATGACAGTAATAACATAAAGTAATAGGCCTATTACACTTTTTTTAAAAAAAAATAAGAACACATTTTATAAGAACACTGAGGCTGAAATTCCTTAAAAATTATAAACAAAATAAGAACAAATTGAGGCTGAGGTAAAATGTCAGATGAGATTTTTATTTTTAAAAACTATAAAAACCAAAAAATATCTACCTTATGCATAGGTGTGACTATGAAAAACAGTAGGCCTACAGCAGGTGTGCTGTACTTACCGTGCCTGTCATTTGGGGCCATTTTTACCGGGCCTTTTCCCAGAGGCCGATTTTTCCGCGGCAACTTTTACCTACATTCCAGCTACAGTTATAATGCTGTACTATAATGATTTTCTATGTTTGAAAATTGTGTATAAGAACAAAATAAGAACATTTTGATCCTAAAATCGGTCAAAAATAAAATCTTTGAGACAGGGCAAAATTTTACTGGTTCTTATAAAAAATAAAAGTGTACATCAGAGGTTTTATCAAACCAACTGTATAGCTTTTAAAAGCAGCTGTTGGCCCTCTGGGCCTTATGCAGTTTGTTACTCGATGCATCTGGCTAGTTTGCCAGCACTTTCTACTCATGAATATTTCATCGGCGTGCGTGGGCTATTGAATTAATGAATTTATAAGAATATCAATTAAGGTGAACATGGTTTCAATGAACAATGTTCTTATGCAACATTTTTAATATCTGCACTGTCCTGGATTTACTATTTATAGGAAGGACAGAAATGATAGAAGAAAGGGTGGTGGTGTCATGTTGTTGGCAGCTAATACTTTTAAATCAAGAAGAATGGTTCAGCTTGAACACCCTGACGTTGAACTTTTATGGATTTGCTTTTTCATACGAGAAAAAAATAATTCAAATATTATCAACACTCTCTGCACAGGTGCATCACAATAATAGCGATATTAGTTACAAAGGCATAATGTAAATTAATGTTAATGAATTATAATAAAATGAGATTTACTCGTATCCGCACTCTTCTTTCCAGGATTGACTACTTTAACGCTCTTTTTAATAGCATTTCTCAAGGTGATCTTCATAGACTCCAAAAGCTACAGAATAGGTGTGCACGTTTCATCTTTTGCCTTCCTAAATTTCATACTGCTAGTCCACTACTCCGGCGGCAACTTCATTGGTTGCCGATTAGACAGAGAATTATTTTTCGTTTTTTCGTTTCAATCATATTTTGTTAAATTAATTGCCAAAACAGTACCCCTGCTTACAACACTTACGGTATCTCTAGGCAACAATATCGCCATGGCCATAATCTTCGTTCATCTGGTTCATTTTGTCTTCGTATACCTCGGTCTAATTAAAAAGCTGGTGATAAGGCTTTTCAATTGCTTCACCTAGGCTTTGGAATAGTCTTCCTAGCAAGTTACAACATGCTTCTTGTTATCTTGGTTTTCGTCGGCTTCTAAAGAAACATTTGTTCCCTAAGTAAATCTCACTTAACTGTCCAAATTTTCTGTTTTTTGTCATTTCTGGTGGCTTTGTTGATCACCAATTGGTTATCTTTTTTATTTATTTTTATTGCGCCTTGTATCCCTTGGCAAAAGGCTTGGTACAAGTTCCTGTATTATTATCACATTCGTTGTGCTAAAACCATGATAAATTGTGATTATTCAGCATAAATAATTATTCTGTATAAATGTCGAATAATTATGTTTTATGGTGGTTGACAGATGCGTTGAAAGAGGTATGTGATACGAACGGGGATACGAATTACCTCGTCTTTCGGATGGTGCATTCTGGGGCGTTTTGGGCGATCAACTATATTTTTTTTTCTTTTAATTTTTTTTTTTACTTTCAAAAAGAGGGGGCGGGGCCGGCCCACCCCCTAAATTCGCCACTAAAGATAATCATAGCTGTCGGTAGATTTCCGGTCGATGTATAATAATGGGGAGGGACAACTTGATTTAGTGTACAAATATAAAATGAAGAGAATGAAGGAAGAATAGGAAAAATACTCAATAATAATAATCGCTCATTGTTAAGTTTACGTGTTTGTAATAAATTTTAGGCACATCATCAGAGGTCAAGTTGCCGAGCCTATCACGTTTTATATATAAAAGAAAAAAAAAGGGAAAAAAAACCGAATTCCCCAAATTAGATATACTGGAATTTCCCTACAGCTGGGCTCGATGGTCGGATATCCCTGTCGACTGGCTGGACCCTTGTACTTGACCATATTGGAACAACGACGATGTACAGTGCTCCCGACGAAAGTATTGGCTTCGCAGATTGGTGTGCGTGGTTTACCCCGGGTGCCGCAACTGCTTTTATAATCATGTATTACACTCTCACTCGCAATATCATTCCCACTCTTATAAATAAATAAACGAAAATGTCTATCACGTTATCATTTACACATGCTCTGTAGTAGCCATAGTTTCAGGTTCTGAATTGTATATCGTTGATCTGAATGCTGTAGGTAACGCTTCGTTTTCACCGCAACCGTTTCCTTGCGATCCTCGGTTGCCGTTCAAGAATCTAAATTTATCACTAGCGCTAAGAACCTGTCTTTTTAATTTCTGCGAGAGGCTCCCGAATGTCCTTGCATTTTTTGTTTCCATATCGCCGATAACTTTTAATGTTATCATCAACACACTCAGACCAAAAACTAGGTCTGTCTCTTATACACATCTAGATGTGTATAAGAGACAGATGTTAATTTTTATACAATTATGGAAAATTCTACATCAAAGTCAATGATGCAAGTTAATTGACTAGTTTGTAAATCATGGTGAAAATTCAATTAGGACCTTCAAAAACAGTTTTGGCGGATAATTAATTTCCCTTATAGTTATCTTTCCATTGATGAACAGATTACGCATTTCCATACGTCCATGACACTCGGCTTCTTGATTATATCTGCGGTGGTAAGTCTTCATGATAAGTAATAATATTTCCGTTTTTGCACGTTTGTATTTTTTCTATGACATGTTCGTTATCCTCTTCCGGTATGACACCAACTCCTAAATTGAATCCCCTCTCCGAGTGGAACGATCATATGTGACAGCAACACGCCTGATATAACCAGGTCTGTCCGGTCCCTATGGTTGTCTGGATTCTGGGTGCGCGGATCTTTATTGCGTCCCTTATTTGCTTTTTCGAATATTCTTCCTCTCTACATAATCTTTCATATCTTTCATGTTTGCATTTTGTGTTACGTAATTAACACCAAAACACCTAAAAATATGATCCTATTTGTAAAACGGGTAGTTTGTAGTATATACAATATTTTAAAAGCTTAATGCCAATAAATTGTTCGTCAAAAATTATGTGAATACTGAAATACTTCAAAAAGTAAACCTACTTGTAAAAACAAATAGTTCTCAGTTATAGCATTGGCAGCGCCAGTGATTCCCCGACCTCCTAGGTACAAGGTCCCTGACAGGGCCCACATCATGGTCAAACCATTGCGGTGGGATACTCATCGAGGGCGTACAAGATCAGGGGGATCCAGAGATGTCCGAAAGGAAAGCCGAAAGTGAGGCCGCACGAGAAAACACTACCGTAGTGAGTCCAGGGGCATGTCCCGCGAAATTCGTGTTTTCTGGACGCCCGAATATAACATCTGGGGCGTTTTGGGCGATCAACTATATTTTTTTTTCTTTTAATTTTTTTTTTTACTTTCAAAAAGAGGGGGCGGGGCCGGCCCACCCCCTAAATTCGCCACTAAAGATAATCATAGCTGTCGGTAGATTTCCGGTCGATGTATAATAATGGGGAGGGACAACTTGATTTAGTGTACAAATATAAAATGAAGAGAATGAAGGAAGAATAGGAAAAATACTCAATAATAATAATCGCTCATTGTTAAGTTTACGTGTTTGTAATAAATTTTAGGCACATCATCAGAGGTCAAGTTGCCGAGCCTATCACGTTTTATATATATAAAAAAAAAAAAGGGAAAAAAAACCGAATTCCCCAAATTAGATATACTGGAATTTCCCTACAGCTGGGCTCGATGGTCGGATATCCCTGTCGACTGGCTGGACCCTTGTACTTGACCATATTGGAACAACGACGATGTACAGTGCTCCCGACGAAAGTATTGGCTTCGCAGATTGGTGTGCGTGGTTTACCCCGGGTGCCGCAACTGCTTTTATAATCATGTATTACACTCTCACTCGCAATATCATTCCCACTCTTATAAATAAATAAACGAAAATGTCTATCACGTTATCATTTACACATGCTCTGTAGTAGCCATAGTTTCAGGTTCTGAATTGTATATCGTTGATCTGAATGCTGTAGGTAACGCTTCGTTTTCACCGCAACCGTTTCCTTGCGATCCTCGGTTGCCGTTCAAGAATCTAAATTTATCACTAGCGCTAAGAACCTGTCTTTTTAATTTCTGCGAGAGGCTCCCGAATGTCCTTGCATTTTTTGTTTCCATATCGCCGATAACTTTTAATGTTATCATCAACACACTCAGACCAAAAACTAGGTAGACAACTGCCAAGATCTTGTATATCGCTCTGACCGCCACCGACATATCAGGATTATTACTAATGACGTATTCGCCGAATCCTATGGTAGTCAATGAAATTAAGCAGAAATACTGTGAATCGAAAAACGACCAATTCTCAATGACCATGAATATTAATGAAGGGATGATTATTGTAAGGGTATACATTAGGCACCCAACAGTGAGATACACAGCAATTTTCCGCACACGTACGTTCGATAGCATTGAACATTTTGAGATAATACGATTGACCAAAGATTTCCAACTCTCGACGAAGTATTTGCCGATGACGTTAAGCAGCCACCCAGTGAGCGGAATCCCGATGAGGGCGTATACGATGCAAAACGTTCTCCCGCCAATCGTTTTAGGACATAGGTTGCCATAGCCTGTCGAAATGAAGAGAGAAAACAAAAATTAAACAGTTATAACCTCGTTGTTTGTGTTAAAGTTACTCTATAATATTCGCATCATGAAGAAATAAGTACATTTATGGCCTGTAATGTGAGCATTTATAGATATTGTTTGGGGTATATATATATACTCGTGTACAAGACGACCCCCTAGTTTGAAGAGATTTTTGGACGATTTTTGTTTCATCGTCGGATTTCTTATTTTTTCTGCTATTTAATGGTCTTGACACTGCATTTAGTTGGCTAAAAACGGAGCCAAATGTAAGTAATACCATTTTATAATATTTTATTTCTATTTAAAAGTTGTCACAAAAATCTTAATTTCAGTAGCTTCATTGCAGTAATAAATTAGCGTGCTGTTACGGGAGAGCCGCAATAAGACGAACATGATTTTAAATCTAAAATATATGTCGTGCATATAAGACGACCCCTTGTTTTTCGGTCGTAATTTGTAATTTTAAGCCTTGTCTTATACGCGAGTACGGTATATACCCCATACTGTATATACAGTTAACCCTCCAATTCGAGACCACGCTTGGGACCTGAAAATATGGGGTGGTCTCAGGGTTGGTCTCCAATTAGAGGGATAGCTTGGGGTTAAAAGGTTGAAGATTGTTATTTGTGTCTTTGGAAAAGTGGTCTCGAATTAGAGGGGTCTCGAATTGGAGGGTGCACTCTATACACTATTAATGTAAGCCGGTTTAAGCGAGTTTACCTTTTCACATTTAAACTGTTCTATATAATATATATATTGTATAAGCCTGTATGATATCGATGTATGCATAACATATTCAGCTGACGATCCTCTGTATTATAGAATTCAATGCAAAAAAAAATGTAAGTGTTTTATTATAAAAACAGTGAAAATTATCTGAGAAATTGCTCATTTACATTAACCAAATTACCGATCTTTCATTTAGAAGCACAGATCAGAACAATTTATTTATTGTTAAATCTAAAATTTTAAGCCTGCCATTTTTGGGTACTATTATAATAAGAAATATTGGCCGTATTCGATTGGTCGTTCTTCGTTAAACCTCGCCGCCCACCTTTTACGCAATGGTAAAATCCTACTTAACGAAGACGACCAGTCGAATAGAAAACTTGTAAATACTCGAAAAAAACAAAAAGGCTGCACAGCGATACACGCTGCGTCATAAAGATTGCTTCGGCTTGTTGTGGCAGTATGGGCTTTTCGTTACAAAAAAAATGTTTTTTATCCAGTTTTTGAATTTTGTTAGCCTACAATTATTTTTTTACTTCTGAAATTTAGTCTAAATTTTAGTCTAATCTAACATATTATATTGGAGGTGATAATCAACTGGATATGCAAACTCACTACACCATTTTCCAGTTCATTATTGTGTACTTTCACGCACGACCTAGAATAATGACCTCGTACGTTACTCTATTCATTAGAGTTATATTTTTGTATTTCTTTTATTCAAGGCACGCTGCGAACAAACCATTATTTCTCGTTTAGTGATTAGTGTACACACACATAAACAAGACACTTCAACTCATTTTAAAGATATCACGACATTTTTGCTCAAATGTCTAATATAGCCCTTAAAGCTACACGGTATATGCCTCAAAGCAGAGACTGCTTTTTAAGGATTCTACTGTCTTCCCATTAGGATAGATGAAAACTTGCATAATTGATGACCAATTACATCCGATGATCACTGAATGATTCAGTTAGTATGTAGGCCTAGACCTATAATCACTAATCTATTTCTCACTGTCAACACTAAATTCACTTGGAAAACGAATTGTGTATATAGGCCCTAGATCATATCTTATTCACATCATTAATTTTCATTTATCTTTAAAATATCAGTTGTTCATCGATTTATATTTCGGGACTATTAATCCCACGCAATATATTATATGCCGCCATTTTTCTTATGAAGGTTAACGATACTGTCGCCGTAAGTTTTATACCGTTATAGTTTTCTGACTCCGTTATAGTGGCATTATGATTGAGGTACTGTGAAAAATGAAAATATAGTCCTCTATCTCAATTCGATATTTAAATTGGTCATTTAGGAGGAAAGGGCGGTGGGTGGGTGGGTAGGTGGATGGATAGCTGCTTTTACACTGCCTAATTTTATTTTACTAAGCAGGCTTTAAAGAGAATAGGCCTAATTATAGAACTGGTAAGGAGGTCTTAACGCGAGAAAATCAGAAAAAAGAAACAGCAAATAATAAACCATAAAATTAAAATGGAAAAGTTTATACAATTATTCTATATTTCCTCATGAAATTAATGGAATCAAATTATACCAAATTGAATGATGTCTAGACTGAAATTCAGCAGGTTGTGAATACATGTTTTACTACAGGTTTTCAGACAGAAGCATTATCTGCAGGTATATCTAGAATTTTCGAAAGGTAGTCTAGTATGATAGTACATGCTTGAGAATGAATAGAATAACATGTAAATGTACAAATTATTCATGCTGACGCACTAAACATCCGACAACAAATCACTTATAAGGACCATAGTGATCACAACGTGTAAGTGTAGATATTTTACAAAAATATATATTGAGGCCAAATTAATAATAACATAACAACGATAATAATAATAATACGTTATAATAGCAATAATGATGATACTAATAATAATGATGATAATGATGAGAATGTATGTCACATTCACGAATACATTCTTAGTTTGTCTCTTTTATGGGATAACATCTTAATTTTAAGCCATGTTATTATATAATACAGTAAAAACACAAAAAAAAAAAACGACGACGATGACAACGACAGTAGCAGCAGCAACAACAACAATATTAATTAAATCCTGGGGCCGGGTTTATCAAACCAGAAATCAGCTAAGTTCATCTTAAGTACATTTTTTTTTTCAAATTTATCACTATTGCCTTAACTTAAAATTGCTTAAAATTAAATAGTCGATTGTACGCACGAACAATCTAAGACGATTTTAAGCTAAGATTTTGCTAAAATGGTTTGATAAATCAGCTTTAGATATTTGCTTAGGGACTTCTAAACTTTTTTGACTTAGGACATTTGCTAAGCTGAGATTGATCAATCCCGGGCCAGGTATTTATATAGCGCAGTCTCACAATAATGTCTCAGAGCTAATGTGCATTTTTAATGCAAGAAAGGTGAGTTTTTGTTTTATGTTTCTACGCGCTGCATTAGATCTATTAGATCTATGGCAGAGTCCATGATGCAAGTGTGTAGGCCTATTTTGAAAGCCTTAATATCGTATATTAATTGGGATAATGCGTTAATGCAAACACTGGTATTTCAGAGGTTTCACCACAGTTCTCCGGTTGGACGTACAAGAGGTAGCTCTCGTTGCTCGGCGCAAGGCTGGGTTGTTAGGAAGGGGGAGGGGAACCCCGTCAGAGAGAGCTGGCCCATGCCACAATTCGTTGGGAAGAACAAAAATAACATGTATTTTTTTACATTCGCAGACTCTAAAAACAAAGAAATAAGCCTTCTAACCCATAAATCGTCAGCGTTTCTGAGGGCTTAACCCCTATATCACTTCTGGGAGGTTCCGAGCCACACCCGAACGCGTCTATGCTCTCGTTGGGCATATTGGCACCGCCCCCCGCCGAGGACATTAGACCCCGTCAGGCAAATCCTGGTGCCATCCCTGGCTACACATAGTTCCACAAGATGTACGCGATGCTCATTTTGATATGCAATGTGAACCTCATCAACCTCGAGGGTGGGTGAAACATTTCCCGTCGAACAAGCATGGACCCCGGATGCATGATTTAATGACATCAGTCGAACACAGGCCTATTTAGGCCTATATAGGCCTATTTACTAAATAGACCTATACCAGTACCTCCCCAGTAAACGAAACGTAATCTACCGTATGTTTTTCAGGTATTTTAAGTAAAGTATAAAATAAAAATCTTCAAAATGAGTAAAACATACCAATTGTTGTGATAACTGTTGACGAGAAGAAGAAAGAGTTAAAAATATCCCATTGTTGGTATTCTGAAGGTTTTATATTGGTGTTATTCACTTTTTCATATTTCATATCCCGGAAGACGCCATTTTCTGTCGCTCTGATCACTTCTAAAACTAAGTCCTTTAACTCTCCATTGTCAATGCACTTATGTTTGATCTTGAAATCTTGAAAGAATTGCAATAGCTGCCCTCTTACTTTGGTTTCGTTAGAGCTTTCCAAAAGATGAAACACAATGGCACCAAAAGTTAGGTACAGAAAGAAGCAAACCATTAAAATACATAATTGTCCCAGTAGCTTCATTTATGTGTTTGTTGCTATGCTCTGACTACTTGATTATTTCGCAAAAGTTTGAGCCTGAAAAATAAAAATTAACGACGCGTATAAATTTTATATACTATAAAATATATTTATTCTTTACTCGAATATAGAGCCAATGTCAGTGTTTTTGTTTACAACGTAAGAAACAGACATCATGCTGGTAAATAGGCCTATATGCTAACTGGGTGATTTAATGTTAATGAAAAATGATGTACATGTTTACAATGTACGTTTACTGAAATTTGGGGTGGTCTTTGGTCTCCAAGTAGAGGGCTAGCGATTGGAGATTATCATTGGTTCTTTAAAATGTGGTCTTAAATTAGTGGGGTTCCGGAATTGGAGGGGTTTCGAATTGCAGGGTGCATTGGTATACTTGTATTCCTCTTCCAATGAGAAACCAACAATAATTTGTAAGAATATGCCCATTAAAATATTGATAAGCTAGAATAAGCGTACTTGTAATTATTATTTTTAGCTTTTTTTGCCTTTCAGTTAGCATGTAATGTTTTCTTTAATAAATAGATTTCTCCCTGCTTATATACATCGTCCTATCATTTAACAGGCTAGCCACTCATTATTACATCTTGAAAATGCAGTGTTTTTTTAAAGATTATGAAGGTTGTGGGCTAGGCCTAGCCCTGAGTTTCTGAATAGGGAAGCTCAATGATGACGGAACTTCCGTTTTTAACGCTGGCATCATGGAAAGTAAATCGTTGTGTCTGAACACCATGACCAGTTATGCCGCGGATTAGTGTACGCCTGGCGTTAGTTAAGCTACTGTTATTCCGTGAGTCTGAACATAGCCTAAGTCTTTACAGGAACAGACAACCATCGATGATAAATTGATTTTTACAGGCTTTTATTTAGTTTCTGCTTTCAAGATACAAGATTCGAAATAACTTTATTGCAAATTTAAGGAAAATTTGAAATGTGCAGAATAATTCAATGTAACAATATTAAAAATGTTTAAAATATTTAAAATACTCAAGTTAAATTTGTCAAAATAAGAAAATAGGACACATTACAACATTAAAAATACAAAAGGGAAATGTACAAAACGTGAAAAACAAAAGCAATCAAAAAGGGCATAAATAAGGGAGACATACAAATGAGCAGTTTATTATACAGAGTACAAAGCTGAATAAATCCTACAGTGTATTTCTTATCTTTTTTGGGGTGGGGGTAACTCGGGGAGGGAGACTTCACCACTTGGCAAATACCCCATGATTTAAAACGAAGTCACGGGACCTCTTTGTTCTGACTTTGGGAAACTTGAACTCTCTAGGGGTTTGAAGGTTATTGTTGATATTTGTCTTATCAGGTAAAAAATTATGAAGTACATGCCCCGGGTGTTTAACCTTGGTGAAGTATCCCCTGACCCCTGAGCAGAAATTGTCCCTTCTTACAGTGAGTGGAATAACAGGGTCGTCATCTAATGTACACATTTTGTTAAAGATTATTTTGCAGGCTCTGTGCTAAATGCGATCAAGTTGTTAAGACTGGTCCTTAGTAATGATTCAGGCCCCATCCTGGCACTGTGTATTATAATACAGGTCTAATGACTTGTTTATAAAACAACAATAACGCATGGTTATCAACACCTAAACGTTTCAACTGTTTAAGAAAAACATAATTCAGAATTACACTTCTTATTGACTAATTTAGAATTACACTTCTTATTGACATTATCAATATGAGGTTGCTATTATAAATTGCTGCTTACCGTTAGACCGAGCAATTTAGTTACAGAAACACAATCAATATTACTATCTTCAATAGAGAGTGGTTCAAATTCCGTTTTAACTTTCCTACAGCTTACTACAAACTTACTTTGGTTTTTTTTTGGCATGAAATTTCATATGGTTATTATCAGACCAATTAACAGTAACATCATTTTGCTGATTGCTGATTTTATTTTTAGTTATTATACTTTCTACTGCAGCGGTATCATCCATAAACTTAACATTAACATTGCCTGTATATAGGTCAGTTTACTTCCCTTGTGAACGTAAAATAAAGAGGGGTGCCAAAAGGGATGCTGAAATTAACGAGAAACATGTACGTGAACGTGTTTGCTACATACGGTTAGATCTGTCTTAAAACTATTAGGTTACTGCCTGTGACAAACACATGTGATTACCCATTGTTGGACGACATTATAATGTCCGTGTATGGGTGTGATATATCATCAGCAGTATTTACAATACCATCATGGTCATAATAGACCTACATTACCATCAACAGAAACATTACAGTATCATCATTGGGAGCAGGCTGGTTACCC